CCTGCGGGATCTCTCTCCCCCCCCTCTTCTCCTCCTCGCCCCCCGCCCCTGGTCCAGTCTCTTCCCCTCTGCCCCGCGGCACGCCGACGCGTCTTCCTCGACCCCCCCCCCCCCTGGTCCAGTCTCTCTCCCTCTGCCCCTCGGCACGCCGACACGCCGGCCTTTGCCCCCCCCCCCCCCCCGTCCAGTCTCTTGCCCTCTGCCCCCCCCCCCCCGCCCCTGTCCAGTCTCCTGCCCCTCTGCCCCTCGGCTGCGCCGACACGCCAGCCTTTTGCCCCCCTGCAGGGCCCTCCGCCTGGGCAGGCGGCGGCCACGCGCGCGCCCGACCCTGCCACCCCACGAGTTCGGAGGGGGGCGGCGGGGCCTCCCTCCGCTCGGGGCTTCCCGCGCGAAGGGAGCCCCGCCTCCCCCCTTCGCGGCCCGTGGAGCGGTGGGGTCGGGTGCGCGTGTGGCCTCCTGCCTGGGGCCCTCGGGCCTTGCTCCACCGGTCCTTTGCCTCCAGGGGGGGGGGGGGGAAGCCGGGGCCTCGGGGCCAGCGAGCGCCAGGAGGGGTCGGGGCGAGGCTTGTCGTGAGCCTCCGTCGGCTCTCGGCGGCGCTCCAGCTTCGGGACGATCTTCAGGGGCTGCGCCCCGCCGAGGGCGTTCGGGGGGTGCCCCGATCGTTCCGAGCTGCCGCCGGAGGCCGAGATGTGGCCCGAGAACCAAGCGTGCAGCGGCCGGAAAACGAGCAGGACTGGCGTGCTTCGTCGCGTGAGGCCTTTGAATGGAGGTGCGGGGTGCGGGGAAGGCACAGTCGGCACAGCAACGAGGGAATCGGCCTGCAAGCAGGTGTCCTTCCGAAGTTTCGTATCCCCCGACGCCCCCGCCAGCACCCAAGATCTACGAACGATGTTTCCCCTTCATGTTTCCTGTGGCACGATCTCTTGCCGTGCGCGCCAGTAGTGGCAGGAGGGTGGTTCAGAGCCCCGAATCATCAGGGGTAACTCGGGTCAGGGTTAACTCGGGTTCGTTTTTCGGGAATCCGAACCCGAGTTACCCCGGACCCGAGTTACCCCGGAGAATTCGGGCGTCCAGAGCCCCACATCATCAGGGGTAACTCGGGTCAGGGCTAACTCGGGTCCCTTTTTCGGGAATCCAAGCCCGAGTTACCCCGGATAACTCGGGCGCCCAAGTGGTGGTGGTGGTGGTGGTGGTGGTGGTGGTGGTGGTGGTGGTGGTGGTGCCGATGCTCTCTGTTCCCATCATCCTGCTCTTCGGGCCCCATCCGCTCTACAGTCGGGGCGCTGAAGAAGGAACCCTTTTCGTTGGGGAGGGGCTCCGTGTTCCGTAATTGTTCCGCAGTTTGCTTTGGATTCTCCGTAGGTCTTCAATACGAAGTCGAAGTTCAACTTATGGAAAATAGGGGCCTCGTTCCTTATTTAGGGTTCCTTGGGTCAACGCCTCGACTGTAGGGCCGCGTGGGCGGCCCCCCCCTTTGGGCGGGGGGCGCCCGCCTCCGTTGCCCGCCGCCCCCGCGCCGCAGACGGAGCGGCGAGAGGCCGACCGGCGCCGCGAGGCCGGGGCGGGAGGGGGAGGACGAGGAGGAGGAGGAAAAGGAGGAGGAGGAGGAGGAGGAGGAGGAGGAGGAGGGGGAGGAGGAGGAGGAGGAGGAGGGAGGAGGGAAAGAGGAGGAGGAGGTGGAGGAAAAGGAAAAGGAGGAGGAGGAGGAGGACGAGGAGGAGGAGGAGGACGACGACGACGACGAGGAGGCCTGGGCAGTCTAGGCGGCCGGGGGGGGGCGTAGCGGCCTACGCAGAGTCTGTTCTGGCGCCACGCAGCCCCACCAGTCACGAGCGGCGAGCACAGCGGCGTCTGCGCCTCCCGACGGTCGCCCTCGGCTTTTGTCGGCATGTGGATTCACGTGTGCAGGTGGGCTCCCTGGTAAGTCCCGATAGGAGCTGCTTTCAGGTGCTCTCGGGGCTCAAGCGACGGGGGTCCATGCAAACGGGGGGCAGCCAAAGTGCCGGATCTTGCAGGAGCCTGCAGGGCCAGGGTTGCATTGTCCCGGACTTGGGTGCAGCATCCTGCAGGATCCAACAGGATCTTGCAGGATCCTGCAACGCCTGGCTGACCTGGGTCTCATGGGCCCGGGCCAATGGTTCCCCGATGATCTCTGCATCACGCTCGGAAAGGTTTTGGCTCCAGGGCGTAATCCCGAAGATGCGCGGACGTACGGATACGATCCGCGGGGGACATCCGCGAAAACAGCGCCCCGCATCCGCGGGGTCACGGCATCGGCAAAAACCATCGAGGAGCAGTTTTGGTCATCTGGCGGAAAAAAAGTGCACGCACGAAGCCGAAACCTGTAGGGGCAATGGACGTCCGGGCGATGGCGAGGGTGAGGCCAGCCGAGACTACTCGGGGGTCCTGTCGAGGCCAACAGGGACTACCTTACCTGGGGGAGCTGCCCGCGCGAAGCCCGACGCCGGACAGTCAAGGGAAGAGACTGAGATAAGAACCGCTCTGGGATCGGAATCGGCCCGCTGTTCCTGAGGTCTTTCCGTGATTGCTCGAAGGATTGCAAAGGATTTCCAAAAAAACCCTTTTTTGCAATCTTTTTTTGCAATCTTTTTTTGCAATCCGCTGTTCCTGAGGTCTTTCCGCGTGATTGCTCTCTGGTCCTCCTCGGGCACCCAGGCCCGTTTTCGTGCCACAGAGTCAGGAGGGACAGGTAGGCACGGGCACGCACGAGCTTAGATTCCTGCTGAGGTGATGTGCAGCATGTGAGAGGGTACAGTGCCGTTTTCAATACATGTTCCGCGTGCTGGTCATGTATCAAAAATGCAGTGGTTTAGTATCAAAAACAACGATGAGTTCATGCATACATTCATTCGTAAATGAATCATGTATTACAATCCTACATACAAGAATCCCATGTATTAGAAACTGCCCTGTAGAAGCATGCAGCGTAGCAGGTAAGCTAATGAGACTGCGCGCGCACTCAGCAGCCTCTTTGGCGCGAGCCGCATCATGGAAGCTGAGCTGGCCGAGACCAGCTCCAGCTGGCGCCCCCTGGCGGCGCTGGCCTCCCCGCGCGCGCCTGGGGGCCTCACCGCGGGCGATCCGCGGCAAGCCCTACAGCGGCACAGGGAGGCGTCGCGACGCCCGCCAGGGGAGCGCGGCACAGCCCGGCAGCCAGGGGGTCCCGGGAGGTTACGGGGCGAAGTCCGCAGGCAGACCGCAGCAATGGCGGCAGGCGCCCAGTGGCAGGGATGCGGCCTCCAGCCGCCCACGTCCGACGGACTCGAGAAGCACTGGCAAGAGCGGCCCTTCGTGATGGGAGCCTTCCTCGGAGGGCAGACGCAACCATCTCAGCGCCTGTTGGGGGCGGCCGACGATCTCAGGAACGAGCCTGACATCGCGGCCAAGCAGATCCAGAACTCGCTGGAGGGCACCGCGGCACACCATGAGATGTTCTTCAGCTTGGCCATGACCGTGGAAGCCAGTGCTCAGATGACCGTGCGAGTAGCTGATCAACAGAACAGCCAGCAGCTTGGAGAACGCTGCGCAAGAGGTGCCAACCAGCTTCGGCGCCTCGGGACCAGAGCGTCATGACCAGCAGCCTGAGCCGTTCCCACGTACTCCCAGCGGAGTTCGAGGAGGCTCGCGCGGATGGGAGCGCGACCTCACGCGGCATGGGGAGGCCGCAGGCGGAAGTCTTCAACGCGGGCGCGAAGAACAGCATTTGCCTCCAGAAGGCGCCCAAGCCCATCAGGACGATGCCCCAGATGGCAAGTGGGCGGGCCCACGACGAGCACGCGGCGACCACCTCACAGCACCTGCAGGCGGCGAGGATCTACGACGACGGGCACCCGAGGCCCCCAACCCCGCCATCTAGATCTCCAAGGACCCCAATTCCATGGAGGCCTGCGCGCCTACGAGGGCCTACGGCCTGGGCGGAGGCAGGGGCCACGGCGGCATGGGCGACGGCGGGAAAACGGGGGGAAGGGCGATGGGGGCACTGGCGGGGAAGACAAGGGGAAAGACCGGCGGGAAAACGAACCGCACGGACACCAGACCCGAGTGCTGCAGCTGCGGGCGCGGGGGCCGTACGCAACGGACTGCTGGCGTCCAGCCCAGGAGGGCGGCAACGCATGACCCAAGGGGCGTGGTCGCGGGGGCCCGGGGGGCGACGATAGGGAGCGGACCAGCCAAGGCGGTTCTGAGGACCGAAGGCGAGTGGACCAGCAAGCATACTAACGCCGACTGGCAACTGCGTGGGCGAGCGCGTGCGCGGCCTGCGCGATTCCATGGGTGCCCATGCCACCCGGCAGGGACCCGAACCTGGCGGTGGCCGACGGCACCACGTTGAAACCTTGCGGCCAGAAAGCGGTGACTCCAGGAGGAGGAACCCCGCCAGGAAGAGGAACCCCATCTGGAGGAGGAACTGCGCCGGGCGGTGGAGTCCCACCAGGACGAGGAACCCCGCCAGGAAAGGGAACCACAGCAGCAGAGGCTTCAGCAGCTCCAGGAGGCTTCGCAACGTTGGGGCGATCCTGGCATTCCTGGCACGCCGCCGGCGAGGCACAGCCCGGCGGGAGCGTCAGCGGTGAGCAGCCAGGTGGCACCAGCTCAGGCGGCGGCGAGGGCGGCACCTGCAGCTGGGACGGCGGCCCCCGAACGGGAACGAGACGGAGACGACGAAATTGACCAGGCCGGGAGCAAGTCACGGATTGTTACGATTTGCGCGGTCGGTGCGCGAAGGGCCGACGGCGGAGGACAACGCCCCTAGCGAGGCGAGGATGGAGGACCTCGAGAAGATCACTGGCGACGGCAAGCAGATCGCGTAGCAGATCCCGATCGGCGACGCGACCTCCGAGATCTTGACAAGCAAATGGGCCGACACCTGGCAGGCCGACGGCAGCGAGAGGATTAGGTGGACCTCGCGGGGGATCGAGCAGCAGAACTACGGCCATGAGAACTTCGTGGCCACCACTCCGTGACTACCACGCGCGAGGGCGATGTTGGTCAACGCGGAGTTGAAGGGCTACGTGGTGGTACTCTGCAATTGCCTTGTGGCATTCCTACCAAGCGCCCCGGCTGGAGGGCAGGATCTGCTTGGAACCACCGCTTGAAGCATGAGTGCCAACATGCTTCGTGTGGGAAGCGTTGCGCATGTTCCCAGGTTTCAACCGGGCACCTGAGGCATGGGAGGATCACGGCGCAGCGGCGATGGAGAAGATGGGTCTTGATCGACGGCGTTGCGACGGTTGCGTTGTCAAGGGGGCCCACGACAAGTTCAAGGCGAAACGACACGCTGATGAGTTCTTCGTGTCATGGACTCGTGAGCCAGTAGGCCATCCATTGGTGGAAGTGGGCGAGAAGCGTAAGCTTTCGGACGCGGCCAGCTGTGCAACACAGGCGACGAGGGCACCGTCCTGAGCATGCAGGTCCGCAAGTCGAGGGCGGCTATACCATCAAGGGTGCGAAGTCGCTGATCGAGGACGTGCTACTGGCGCTCGGGCTGCAGACAGCGATGCCCTCAGTCGGCCAGGGGACGAAGAGCGCGGTTAAGGGGGAGGGCGACGACGAGCTTTGGAAGGCAGCAGGCCACGGCGCGTACAGGATGCGCGTGGGGAAGTCGTTCTCACTGCCACGCCACGGGGTTGACAGGCAGCACGGAGTTGAAGTGCTTAGCCGCGCGGCGGCGCAAATTCAGAACACAAAAGTGCAGGTGGAAGAAGATGGCAAGGTACCTGGCAGGGACCAAAGGCGTGGAGTTGGTATTGAAACTAGACAAACATCTCACACACATCGTACATTGCCGTGCGGACGCAGACTAGGCAGACAACGTTGACGACAGGATCTCAATCAGCGCCGGTGTATTGAAGCACTACGGGTGCATTGTGTTATCGTGCGCACGGCGTCAGGGCGGCGCGGCCCTGAGCTCAGCGGAAAGCGAGTTGTACGCATCAGGATCTTGAGCAGCCGAGGCGCTTGGATTGGCGTCGCTGATCGGCGAGTGGCACGAGAGCGTGACGCCCGCCTTTGGAAACGACATCAGCACCGCACTCCAGATCGCGAAGAGGAGAGGGCCAAGCAGTATGAAACACATCGGGATAAGGTTCTTGGCTTTGCAGGAGTGGCGCGAGCAGAACCGCCTGGAGTTCCAAAATATTCACACGGACAACAGCGAAGCAGACATACTGTCGAAGCCGATGACCCAAGAGAAGTTCGTGAAGTTCTCCCGCAGCGTAGGCTTAGTAGGTCGACCGCTCCGCCCACTTAGCGACGACGAACTTGCTATGGCAGTTCGGACAGTCCGCATTTGGAAGAAAGGTTCGAGCCAGCAAAATGGATAGGGAACGCAAGCCCTGGGCGGTGCTGACAACAGCAGACGAAAGACTGACGGTAAGGTCAGCGTTTTTGTTTACGCAACAGAGGTATCCAGACATTCCCTCACGATCCCTGGGCCTACAGGCCTGGCGGAATCGAAGGCGTGTTGAGGTAAATGTAGGTGGGTAGACGCATGCAGGGTGGAAGCTCGTGAGATTGTGCGCGCAGTCCGCAGCCTCTTGAGCACAAGAAGCAGCAACTCACATGGACATGTTGGGAGATTTCGGGGATCGGAGGGGAAAACGAAAGTCCAGAACGTATGGCAAACATGTTGCGATGTTCGGAGTTAGTGTATCTTTGCTTGTAAAAAAAGGAGGCCCCGATCCTGATCTAGCGTTCCTTATTGCAGCCGCTGGGCTGCACCCCAGAGGGCTTCTGGGGAGGGACGGCACGATGCCCGGTGGCCTTCCCCTCCGAGCCCGTGCCGGGCCCTCCTGGCCGGCGCGCCCTCGCCCGCGGAGAGGCCGTCCCGCCGCACGGCGAGGCCCTGCAGCAGCGGCGCCGGGCGCTCGAGGAGGCGCGGCATCAGAGGAGAAGACGACGACGGCGACGACGACGGCGACGACGACGACGACGACGATGAAGTCGTCAGCTTTGGCGCCAGCAGTGTGGTGATCGCAGGAGAAGGGGCACGACGTCGACGGGCACGACGAGAACGAGGACGAGGACGAGGACGAGGAGAACGAGGGGAGAGGCGGCGATGGACGGAGGGGTGGGTGGGAGAATGACGAGGACGAGGCACCTAGGAGGAAAGGAGAGTAGTGGAGCTGGGAGGAGGAGGAGGAGGAGGGAGGAGGAGAGGGAGAAAGAGATGAAGGAGGAATTGTAGGAAAAGGGGGAAGACGAGCAGGAGAATTATGGGAAAATGGGAAGGAGGAGAACGGATGGATGGAGGGAGGTGAGTGTCGTCAGTCGTCAGGCTCGACGGCTGGAAGGGTGGAAGAACTCGAGGAAACAGGCTTCTGCGCTCCCTCTCGATGCCATTCTGTCCAACGGGACCTTCTCTCATGGCGAAGGTCTTGTAAGGATAAGAACGTTAAGGATCAGGAGCAGGAGAAGGAGCAGAAGGAGCGCAGGGGCAGGAGAGGGATCACTAGGCAAGTGCGTGCGAGCTGTAGCCAGCGCGGGAGCAGCAGGAGCAGGAGGAGAGGGTGGATGAGAGGGTGGGGCATGGAGAACAGGCCGAATCCAGAGGGGGAGGGGATGGGGGCATCTGGACCACACACACACAAAGCATCAGGGCACCTGTAACCCACGTATACGGTAAGCACGTCCAGACAGACTCCACCCCAGCATTCTCGCAGGCTCCCCATCCACGCAGCAGCCGCCGCGAGGATTCAAGCCGCCGCACAGGATTCAAGCAGCCGCCGCGAGGAGGAGGAGGAGGAGGAGGAGGAGGAGGCGGAGGAGGAGGAGGAGGAGGAGGAGGAGGAGAGGGAAGGAGGAGGAGGAGGAGAGGGAAGGAGGAGGAGAGGGAAGGATGAGGAGGAGGAGAGGGAAGGAGGAGGATTTCGGCCACTTCCGTAACTGTGATGGCTCCGAGTCTTTGCATTGACACGTTGTGCTGCTTTAGGCCGGCGCTCAAGACGATCCTACAGGGGTCGGCGCACACTCGAGTGGGGTGGCACTTACAGGTCTTTGCAACAGGAATTTCGTTTGTCTTCGAGGTCATTGTCGTCATCTCTACTTTGACCGTCGTTCTCATCTTTCAAGAGGGAAGGAGGAGGAGGAGAGGGAAGGAGGAGGAGGAGGAGGAGGAGGAGGAGGAGGAGGAGGAGGAGGAGGAGGAGGAGGAGGAGGAGGAGGAGGAGGAGGAGAGGGGAGGAGGACGAGGAGGAGGAGGAGGAGGGAGGAGGAGGAGGAGGAGGGGAGGAGGAGGAGGGGGAAGGAGGAGGAGGAGGAGGAGGAGGAGGAGGAGGAGGAGGAGGAGGAGGAGGAGGAGCACGAGGAGGAGACGGCCCCGGCGGCCGAGGCCAAGGTCCGGGAGGCGGAGCTGCGGGAGATGCTCGACGAGCTCCAGGAGGAGGGCCCCGCGCGCCGCGCGCGGCGCCCCGCTGGTGGCACGGGGCACTCCCCCGCGACAGACGCTGTGCTCTGTCCGCCCGGGCTCGGGGGCGGCAAAGAGGGGGGTGATGGACGCCCGACATGGGTACCGAAAGAATGGGTACAATGCCCAACAGCAGGTCCTCTTCAATTTGAACAGGACTCGCTGTCCGCGCCGCCTCGGCCTGTATCCATTTGAGACAGAAGGCCGCCTGCCAAACAGCGGCTGCTGTTGGTTTGGGACAACATTTGTTGTTGGGCATTGTACCCATTCTTTCGGTACCCATTTCGGGCGTCCAAAACTAGGGGGGGGGGGATATCATGGTGGGGGCCATGATATCTCCCCAGTTTTCACGGTGCCTCTTCTCATTTCAATGCGTCCCTGGCCCCCCCGCTGGGCCGCGCACACGCCGCCGGTCATGATTTGCACCCCCTCCCTCTTGGACACCCCCCTCTTGGGCGCTCCCGACGGGCCTCTCTGCATGATTTCGGGAGGGAGAGCGAGTATCAGTGGCACGCCGCCGTTTGTAGCCTGTCAGCGTGTTGCCCTGCGTTTTGGTCCGAAGGCCTTGTGCTTTCTTCAGCAGCGGCACGCTGCTGGGTCCTCCACGGCGGCGTGGCACGGGGACTGTGCTTGCTCCCCGAGAGATGCCGTGTGCTTCCACTGGGCGAGGCTTGGGGGGGGAGGAGGAGGGGGAGGAGGAGGAGGAGGAGGAGGAGGAGGAGGAGGAGGAGGAGGAGGAGGAGGGCTTCAAAATCAGAGTTTGAAGCTCCGCGCGGATTATTTGAGTCGGCGTAGAACCTCCTTGGCGGTGCCTTGGCGCAGCACCCGGCGCGCTCCGCGGGAGGGGGTCCAGTCCCGATCCTGGAGGTCCGCGCGGAGCCTCGACGATTTGTTTCTATGCATTGTTTGTGATTCGTCTGTTTGGGTTGCGCGTTGGCAGTCGCAGGTGCTTCTGCATCCTGTGTTGCTCGTGCAGCAGCTGTCTCTGCCCCAGGAGTAGCGGCTGCACGCGATGTGTTGATTGAGTACACGTTGTTCCAGCAGTTGTTGTGTCTCCCCTTTGAATTGGTGGTATGCGCCTCCCATGCTTATGGCCAGGGCGCGACGTCGAGCTTCGGGTGGGCCACAGGTGCCGCCTGCTTTGGTGAAGTCGAGGGGGGTGCGCTTGTTGGTGCCGCGGCTGGTTATGTGGACAGAGCTGCAGCCCGGGCGGCACTCTGCGCCCGCGGCTGGTGTTGCCTGTGTCTCTGCTTGGCCTGCGCGCCGTATCGCCTGCAGTGCCTTTGTGCCCGAAGCGTGCTGCAGGTATCAGGAAGGAAAAAATCACACAGACACAATTAATCGTCGATCCCCCAGAAAATATAGGAAAATATGGGCAGTGGAGGGGAAGACAGAAACCCAGAAAATATGGGAAATATGGGGAGTTGTTCTATTTGTGTGTATTTATATGTGTGTCCTGGGGCCCCTTCAAGGTATTGCTTCAAACCGTGCTGACCATGGCGTCGGCTCCGACTTGGACCTCGAGGTCGCCCGCAGGGGCGCGAAGGTAATCAGTCGCGGGCCGCGGTCCGGAATGGAGAGCTGCCACTCTCCAGTGCCGGTCTGCGCGAGGGAGCGCGAGGGCGCGACGTGAGGTGACCTACGGTAGAGGGAAACAATTACTGAACACTCTCCCTCCCCCCCAAACTCAATGTTGGCACGCGCGCGGGAGACTGCGGTTGAGGTGCATCTCATCAGACCCACCGCCAACTTTTACCATTGCGGGGAGGGGGAGGCGTTGACGGCTGAATGTGGCATGTGTTCGCTAATTTGTTCTGACGCCTGTATGTATCATGCCACCTTGTGATGAGTAGGCGAGGTCTCGGCGAGGTGTGGCCGGGTTGTCGGAGCACCTGCATGCTGTTGACCTGTTGCCGGCATCGTTGTCGATACAGCTGGTCGAGCAGCTGGACCGCGTGGACTCCGTGCGGTGCGACGGCAGCTTGGTTTGTCGCACGTCCAGCGCGTGGTATTCCAGGCTCGTGATGGCCCGATGTTAGACGATGCGTTCGATCAGCCCGCCACCGTCGAGGCAGGCAGCGTCGTCGAAGGCCAGGAGATCATGTTGCCCTCGTTCTTGGAGATGCCTGCTAGACAGCTGGTCAGCCTCGACTTGAAGCGGTCATCCGCGTAGTTGGACAGCCACGCCCGTTTCCAGTACACGCTCAACGCTTCAATCGCGCGTGCCGATGGAGCTGAGGAGGAACTGAAGAGATGGAAGGCCGACGTGAAGATCGTTGCCACTCTGGCCTCATTCCTGTCCTCCTCGTCCTCATGCCTGCCCATCACGGAGTGCGGCGCGCAGGCGCCTCGACCCTCGGGGTTTAGGCGGGGCCCCTCCTTGTCCTCTCCCCCTGGCACGCTCGTGCTCCGCGGGAGCTCATCGAACTCGGACCTCCCAGTCGAGCTTTTGCTCTTCTGGGAGGCGCAACGGTTGCGCCACCCCCGCTCATGGGCCATGCTCGTGGATGCTGCACGCTCTCCCCGGGCTTTCGAGCAGAGATGCAAGGGCACCATGCTGCCGTCGTGCTCTCTTTCTTGGAGGGCGAGACGCTGGGGATGAAGCAGAGCTAGCCGTGCCAGCACGCCGCCTCTTCTGTCTTTGCCTGGCAATCTTGGCATCGCTCGGACGTGTGCATTCTTCCTTCGGCGAGTTAACGGGCGAAGAACCGTATAAAATAAACTTTTCGCCGTCGGGGACACGTGCCCCAGGGCGGCTGGAAAGTTTATACCCGTACGGCGGCGCCGTAGGGGTATAGACTTTCCAGCCGCCCAGGGGCAGGTGTCCCCGACGGCGGAAAGTTTATTTTATACCGTTCTTCGCTCACTGAGCGAGGACCATCGAGGAGCATCCCTGATACTTTGGCGAAAAAAAACCACGCACGAGACCGAACAGCAAAAAACACAGGACGGGACGCCCGAGCGGTGGCCCGTAATGGGAGGGCGAGGCCAGCCGCTTCTCGCACCCCATCGCGGAGCTGACGCCACCGCGGGGCCAGCTTTCGAGCCGTGCACACGGCTCTGGGCCTCTCTGGCCGAGGCCGGAGCAGGTGGGGTCGGAGGATCGCGCGGCATCGCCGATGCACCGCTGATGCGGCTCGATGTGGGGCCCGATTTGGTTCGCGTCGACGCCGCCGACGCACCGCCGACGTCGACGATGCATCGCCCGTGCATCACCGATGCATCGCCGATGCGTCGGCGATGCGGCGCGATCCTCCGACCCCATCTACTCAGACCCCATCGATAAGCCGCGTCTTCAATAAATTGAAACGCCCTTCAAACACGAAGCGCTCGATAGTTCGGGCACCTTTGAGAAAACGCGTTCTTCACTGCTGTGATGGTACTGCCAGATTTCGGACATCCCTGCGCCTGGACCGAAGCCCCATGCCAGCATTGTAGTAGCGCCGACCGTGCAAACACCGAAAACGAAAATCGTCAATTTGTTTTTGACGAGTCTTGTAGGAGGCCTCCAGTTGAGAAAGGAGCACCGCCACGAGCCAGCACAGTCGCAGCCCGTGTCCAGGTGCGGGAGGCAGCGCGATCTCTCGCGGGGGGGGGCGATGCAGTTGCCCCTGCGGGAGTCGTGACAATGTAACGCCCTCTGCCGGAGGCAGCGCGATGCTCCCTGCAGTCGTACTCCGTGCGGGAGGCCATACCATCTTCCCAGCGGGAGAAAATCCACGGGGTTTTGCGAAAGACAACACGCCAAGACGGTGCTCTCTGTGGGAGCCAAGGCTCGGACGGGGCTAGGACGAGGATCAATCCGTTCCAGAGACGGCCCCGGCGTCCAAGATGTCCTCCAGAGCCTCCAGATCTCGGACAGTCTCGATCTATCCCCACCCGATATTATCGAGGCCGGGGGGCTGTGGAGTCCCTCGTCGTTTTGGAATATTTTTATCGGGTGGAACGCCCCTTCATCTTCACAAGCGTTGATGTTGTTGTGCCATTTTTCTGTTCGCCGCGATCCCCTCATAACATGATTCTCTCGTTATGTTATTATATCGTGCTCTCTCTCTCTCTCTCTCTCTTTGTCTCTCTGTCCATCTCTGGCACCAGGCCAATGCATGCCGATGCGATACCAATCCATTGCTAAACAATTCCAATGCGAAAGCAATGTGAATGGGGGAATCCATTCGCCCGGTAGATTTTCGTTAGATTTTTTGGTCGACGGAGTCATTACGAATCCTTCTTCGGAGGATTTCAACAGCAATGCCTCTGTGAAGGGTTTCGATAGGGACCCTCCTGTGGAGGTATCACTTGTGGGGGGCTCAGTAGGAGTCCGTCTGTGGAGGGAACCACAAGACTCGCCAGCGCAATGCCAACGCAATGCCGAAGCAGTGCCACCGCAATGCCAAAGTAATGCCAAGGCGATCCCAATCGAATGCCAATGCAATGCCAATGGGAGGGAGCCTTTTTGTAGTAGATGTTTAAAGGAATCCTATTTCTGGAGGGTTTCAATAGGAATCGTTGTACGAAGGGAGGTACAAGGACTCGCTAGCGCAATGCCAAAGCAGTGCCCAATCCAATGCCAATGGAGGAATCCTTTCGCCCGGTGGATTTCAATCAGGATCCTTTGTGGACGGTGTCATTACGAATCCTTCTTCGGAGGATTTCAATCGGAATGCTTTTGTGGCGGGTTTCGATCGGGATTCTCCTCTTGAGGGTTTCACTCGGAATCCTTCTTGTGGGGGGTTCAGCAGGAGTCCTTCTGCGGAGGGAGCCATTTGGACTCGCCAGCGCAATGCCAACACAATGCTGAAGCAGTGTCATCGTAATGCCAAACCAAGGCCAAGGCTGTCCCAATCCAATGCCAATGCAATGCCCATGGGGGGACCCCTTTTTTACATGTTCCAAAAGGAATATTGTTTGTGGAGGGTTTCAATCGGATTCTTTCTGCGAAGGGGGGCCGTAGGACTCGCCAGCGCAACGCCAACGCAGTGCCAACGAAATGCCAAACCAACGCCAAGGCGATCCAAACTTAATGCCAATGCAACGCCACCGGGGTGGATTTCTTGTGGTAGCGTTCAATAGCAATCCTCCTAGGAACCCTTCTGTGGATGATGCCATCCACAAAGGGATCCTTCTAAGGACCTTTCTTCGGAGGGGTTCAATCGGCATCCTTCTGTGGAGGGATTCGCATGGAACCCTTTGTGTGGAGGATTGCAATGTGAATCCTTATTGCGGGGTGGTCCGTAGGCATCACTCTTGTGGACGTATTCAATCGGGCTCCTTTTGTGGAGCGTCTGGTCGGGACCGACAGCGCAATGCCATCGCAATGCCAACGCACTGCCGTCGCAATGCGAACGCAGTACCAATGCGATGCCAAACGGTTACCACACCAATGCCAATGCAATGCCGACGGCATGATTCCAGTCTTTCAACATATTCCAACAGAAATCCTGTTGTGCATGATTTGGTTACGGATCCGTCTTCGGAGGATGTCGATATGACTATTCTTGTGGATGGTTTCGGCAGGGATATTTCTGTGGAGGGTTTGACCATGAACTCTTCCTGTGGGGGCTTTCAAAAAAAAAGGAACCCTTCGTGTGGAAGGTTTCAATAGGCACCCTTCTATGGTGGAAGCCGTTAGGACTCGCCAGCGCAACGCCCGATCAGTGCCAACGCCATGCCATACCGTGGCAACCCCTATGCAATCCCAATGAAATGCCTGGGGGACTTCGCTGGTGGTCGGTTTCAATAGGGATCCTTCGATGGAGGGCTTCGAAAGGGTTCAATATGAACACTTATGGTGGAATGCTTCAATCGGAGTCCTTCTTGTGTGGGGTTCAATAGGAACCATTCTGCGAAGGGAGCTACTGGAATTCGCCAACGCAATGCCAACTTAATGCCAAGGCGATCCCAACCCAATGCCAATGCAATGCCAGTGGGGGGAAGCATGAGTGATAGAGATCAGTTGGAATCCTTCGGTGGAGGGCTTCGTATGTATTCCTTACGCATCTGGTTTCAATATGAATGAACATTTGTTTGTGGAAGGTTTCAGTATGAGTCCTTCTGGTAGAGGTGTTCAATCTGAGTCCTTGTGTGGAGGGTTCCGTTCGGACCCGCCACTGCAATGCTTGCGACATGCAAACGCAATGCCAACGCACTGCCAAGTGCTATACCAATGCAATGCCAATGCGATGTCAAACCATGGCCAAACCAATGTCAATGCAATGTCAAGAGGAGTATTTCTATCGTTCGAAGCATTTCAACAGCAAAAAACGACATCCTGGGGGAAGGAGGAGGAGGAGGAGGAGGAGGAGGAGGAGGAGGAGGAGGAGGAGGAGGAGGAGGAGGAGAGGCGGAGGAGGAGGAGGGGAGGAGGAGGAGAAGGAGGAGGAGGAGGGCGGGGGAGAGAGGAATGAGGGAGCGGATCAGCGCGGAGGAGGAGGAGGCGGAAAACCCCCCCCCCCCCCCCCCCAAAAAAAAAAAAAAAAAACGGGAGAACACGGGAGGCCGCGCCGCGTTTTTTTGTTTGTTTGTTTTCTGTTGTTGTTGGTGTGGTTTTTTTTTTTTACGGGGAGGAGAAGCAACATGTTTGATGATGGGGCACGGAGGGGGAGGAGGAGGAGGAGGAGGAGGAAGGAGGAGGAGGAAGGAGCGGAGCAGCGCGAAGGAGGAGGAGGAGCCCCCCCCAAAACAAATAAGAAGAAACAGCGACATGTTTTTCCCAACCATCTTGTGGTGTTGGGTCCTCGTTTTGAAGAGACGTCGCCCCGCGTTCCTCCTTCCTTCCTCCTCCTTCCTCCTCCTCCCCTTCCTCCCCCCTCCTCCCCCTCCCACACCCATTCTGGCACACCCCTCACACGTTTCGTGGCCCCATAGGGAGCTCCACCGAAGGCCCCAGTGGCTGCGCCCGCATGCGGTTCCACCCCCCATTCTGGCACACCCCTCACACGTTTCGTGGCCCCATAGGGAGCTCCACCGAAGGCCCCAGTGGCTGCGCCCGCATGCGGTTCCACCCCCCATTCTGGCACACCCCTCACAC